GTCCAAATAGCATTTACAAATTTTTAACATATGCTGTTGTCTCTGTTTAGTAATTTTTTAAACAAAGTGAGTTTTGTGAAAAGTGGAATTAACGCGCGAATATTTTCGAGCCATGATTTTCTACGATTTTAAAGACAATCTCACTCGACAACAGTTTTCGCAAAAAATCAAGCGATTGTTTGGCGATGAAGCACCATCCTTGGCGACTGTTGAACGGTGGTACGAGTTCCAGCGTGAACGTGTTTCGCTCAAAGACGAGCATCGTGAAAGACGGCCTGCCACTGCAGTCACTCCAGAAAATATCGATGCCGTGCACAACATGATAAAGGCAGATAACCGATGCACATACAGGGATATTCAGGCATCATTGGGCATAGGTATGACCCAAATCAGAACCATCCTGCATGATCATCTTGCCGTCAGAAAGCTTTGCGCTCGGTGGATACCACACAATTCAACGGAGGCTTAAAAAAAAGCGCGTGTGGATTGGTGTAAAAAAAAATGCTAAAAAAATATAACCACGGTCGGGCAAAATCAGTGTACGACATCGTAACAGGTGACAAAAGTTGAATTTATTATTACAAGCCAGAAAGCAAGCGATAATCGGCTCAATGGGTCTTCAAAGAAGAGAGGAGAAATCCACGAAAGTGAGACGCGGACGAAGCTCTGGCAAGAAAATGGTGGCTTCTTTTTTCAAACGCACTAGTCATCTTGCTACAATTCCGCTAGAGGATTGTCGCACAGTCAATGCTGAATGGTATTCTACCATTTGTTTGCCAATTGTGTTTCAAAAAGTGCGCGAGAAACGACCAAGAGAACGAATCATTTTGCATCAAGACAATACACCATCACACAACGCATCTCAAATATCAGAATTTTTAATCGCTTTACGAACGGAATTGATGACTCATCCGCCTTATAGTCTCGACTTGGTACCTTGTGACTTCTTTTTATTTCCATACATAAAAGACAAAATGCATGGATTGGAATTTAATACCCCGGAAGCGGCTGTGGAAGCCTACGAAAACTTCGTTTCTGAGGTGACTGAAGAACAATGGGCTCAATATTTTCAGAACTGGTTCCATCGAATGCAGAAGTACATAGATCATAAAGGCGAATATTTTGAAAAACAATAAAAAAAAATTGGTTAAAATAATTAATGTTTTCTGTATTATCCGCAAAACTTTTAAAGCAACCTACGTATTTTCTCCATTATTTGTGTAGATTGATAACAATTATGCTTCAAATATTCTGCACATTATAATACTGAAGGCACCTCACATATTTCAAGTAATAATATAATATTACATTATTATCTCATTAATTTTTATGAGTAATTATTCTGGAGTAATAAATTTTTCGATTCATAATCAATTTATCACTTTTATAAACAGAAGATCAAAAGGCATAAGAGCAGACGTATATCGGCAACAAAAGCGCTTCATGCGTTTCCTCTATAGATTGTCGTTTGCTCATTATAATTGAAGGCGTACAAATCGTCGAAATACAAATGAAGTAAAGATTTTTTCATGTCCGCTAAATATACTATGTTTCCGAACATTTTAAAATAAATACTGAAATAGTAGTAGTAGTAGTAGTAGAAAAACCGGGTGGGCCTACGAAAGGCTCTAACGTCACCTAGATCTATATAGTACCACTGTAACTCCCCGTTTGTTACCAAGGTTACTGTAGCAGCCCTGGCCTGGCGTCTGTCGCCAGTCTTATGAGGCTGTTCACCTTCTTGTCTTCAAGATCCTTGGGCTTTACGAACATGTCGCCCCAGGATCTGTATCTCTTGCAGACAAGTGCGGGGCAGTGACACAGAATGTGTATGTGGTCCTCGCTCTCCTCTCCGCATAATCTACACTCTTTTTGTGTGGTAATTCTGAGATTGTATAGGTGACCTCTGAGGGCCACATGGCCCGTGAGTAGGCCCACACCAACTCTCGCCTTGATTCTGCTCATTGATAGCAGTTCGTTTGCTCTGCTTCGCAGAGGGAGGCTTATTAGCTGTTTGGATGTTCTACAGCCGCTGGTCGCTTACCAGAATGTTACGTGCCCGCTCTCGAGCCAGCTTTTGATGGTCTTCTTCCCTGCAGCATAAGGTACGCCGACAACCTGTGTACCTGTGTCCGTTTGCGTCCCCGCCTTTGCCAGGCCATCCGCCACCTCATTGCCTGGGATTCCTTGATGTCCACACTAGGGTTAAAGTACATTTTTCCCCTAAGCTATTCAGTGCCTGCTTACAGTCTACCAAACTACTGCTGATTCAATAGTGGTCTTCGTAAGGGCCTCTATAGCTGCTCTGCTGTCAGAGCAGATGTATATAGTGTGCCGACTCCTTCTTGTTTCCGTTAGGATCTCGGCACACCTATGGATGGCCAGCACCTCGGCCTGAAAGACCGTGGCCAGTCCACCCACAGGTATGCTCTCTCTGTAATCTATTGTGGGTCCATACACCCCTGCCCCGAAGCGGCCGCCTACCCCCGATCCATCCGTGTACCATTGGTCCACTCCCGGACCAGTGAGAAAGCCTTGCCGTCTCCAGTCCATTCTAGTTGGTATTAACACCCTAAAGGTATTAGCCAACTGATGTTTCCTAGGAATACAGTCTTGTTTTAAAGAGAAAGGGTTTTAAAGAAGCCCGAGCCTTGTGTGTCCGAGGTCAGTATCCCTCCACTCCTCTTGACACATGAATCTGTATGCTATAAGTCTGGCCAGATAGATGATGTTCTGATCCAGGGGTGGTAGGCAGAGGGCTACTTCCAGCGCCTCTGTTGGAATGGTCTTCATGGCCCCCACTACAGCCCTTAAGTAATTCCCTTGTAGGCTTTTGAGTAGGTTCCTTGCTGCGACTTTCTCCACCCTGGGCCACCAGGCCACTGCTGCATACGTTAGTCTAGGTAATAGTACTGTTTCGTAGATCCACAGGGCAATCCTGGATTTAATGCCCCAGTTCTTGCTTAGGGCTTTTTTGCAAGCCTACATAGTGGTGTAAAACTTTTTCCTCTTTTCCTCAAATGTGTAATTTCCAGCTCAGTTTGGTATCTAGGACTGTGCCCAGATACTTTACCGAGCCGGAATATGAGATGCTCACACCCCATAGCTTTAATGGTTCTATGCGCTCTGGCTTGTATTTCCTGGTGAAGATCACTGTCGTGGTCTTTGATGGGTTGACCATCAGATCCTTGGCTCTGCACCAGTTTTGTATTATTCTCAAGGCTTCGTCCATCCGTTCTTTGAGGATTGAAAGAAAGCTGCCCCTAACCACGATGGCTATGTTGTCTGCATAGCCATAGATCAGGAATCCTGCTTCTCTCAATATAGTCAGGAGTTTGTTCACCGCCAGGCACCACAGCAGAGGGGAAATGACTCTCCCCTGCGGGCAGCCCCCGGCTGGTCGCCCTCTTACTGTTGTGTCACCAAAGCTGACGGTCAAGTTTCTGCCCTTCAGCATGTTTGTGTCCAATCCACGAGTGCCTCGGGGGTCTCATGTCTGATCATTGCTTCTTTAATAGACTTGTTTGAAGTGCTATCAAAAGCTCCTTCTATGTCTATAACTCCTATCGCATAGCTTTTGGCCTCCAACTGACTTCCGATTGCGCTCACAAGGTGATGCAGGGCAGTGTCAGTCGATCTGCCCTCCCTATAGGCGTACTGAGAAGCTGATAGAGGCCTTTCAACCAGCGGTCCTGTTTTCAGAAACCTATCCACCAGTCTTTCCAGAGTCTTTAGGACAAAGGATGTAAGGTTGATAGGTCTGAAGTCCTTGGCCAAAATATGTCCGTTTCTGCCTGGTTTGAGCAGAAAGACGATCCTCGTCCCGCTCCAAGCCTGTGGTACGTGCCTGAGGGCTATATTAATACCTTTGTTAGTGGACCCACCAGCGCACTCCTTCCCTCCTTTATTAGGGCAGGAAAGGTGCCATCTGGTCCTGGTGCCTTGTAGGGTTCAAAGATCTTAATCGCCCATTCGACCCCACATGGCTGTACGACCCTCGCCGCTAGGGACCATGCCTTAGGCTTATATTCAGCCTTGGGTGTCGTCCCATGCTGCAGTTGGAGTCTTCCCAAAAACCTGGAAAGTGAGTCGACATTAGATGTTTGAGTGCTTCATTAATAGATGTTGTATATTTCCCATTGGGGAGCTTAAGGCAGCCCAGGCGGGATGAATCCTCTTTGCTGAGAATTCTGCAGAGCCTGGATGCTTCCGGAGCGCTCTCGATGTCTTCGCAGAAGTTTCTCCAGCTGTTCCTTTTGGCTGCATTTATTGCTTTGCTATATTGCCGTTGGGAGCTTCTAAACGCTTCCCAATCAGCCTTTGCCCCTGAGTTCCTCGCCCTGTTGAGTAACCTTCTTACCTCCAGTCTGAGCCCGACAAGTTCTCGACTCCACCAAAGAGCCCCGATCGGGGCGTACTTCGGCTTCAACGGGCAGTTGACCTCATAGGCTGTTACTATAGCATCGCTGACGAACTGAGCCGACACTTCCAACTCTTCTTTCGAGTGAAACTTGGAAGGGGCTTCTTTCAGTATAGCTTTCAGGACCTCCCTGTATTCCAACCAGTTCGTGTTTTTGGGGTTTCGGCCCCATATTACGCTTACCTTGTGATCCAGGGTGTAGTGTAGTTGCCTGTGGTCTGATTCTGAGAGTTCATCCGATACCTTCCAATCTCTCACCAGGTCCGCTACTCCCTTTGTGCATACCGTTATGTCAATTACCTCTTGTCTTCTGCAGTCCATGAAAGTAGGTTCTGATCCTTTGTTTAGGATGATAAGCCCAGTGTTCGTTAGAAAGTTGTGGAGGCTCTCCCACCTCGGGTTGATATTCGTGCTCCCCCACGTTATATGGTGGGAGTTAGCGTCACAACCCAAGAGGAGTTCGAGCCTCCTTTCCTCCGCGTAGGCCACCAGGTCTTTTATTTCCTTTTGTGGCGGTGGGTTTTCGGCATCGTAGGGCATATAAGCTGACCCACGAGCACGTCCTTGGTCCCCTCCGCCAGGTTTAGCTTCAGTTGTATAACTGTGATGTCCTTTTTGCTGAACTGCAGCACAAGAATAGCATTTAGTCCTTTGACAATTATGCAGGTTCTTATCTTCTTCTGAGTGTTTGGCTTGAAGACAGTGCCACAGCCACCCAGTCCTCTAATAGCCTCGCTCAGAAACCATGGCTCCTGAATTAGTGCTATTGCTGTCTGCATGTTAGCCTGCATGTTAGCATGTTGCTCCTGGCTAGTATCGCCGAGGCGCTTTTGCTATGATGCAAGTTAATTTGAACCAGCGGGATAGTGAGGCCTGCCATGTCTAAGCAGTCCCCGCCCCCCTCGCGTGGTTTCTTCCGCGTCCGCGACCTCCTTGCGTTCTTTGCCGAGTAACCTAACCGTCGCTCGGCCCAGACCGCAGAAGGGTTAGAACCCACAGACCTTCAGGGCCTCCAGGGAAGCGTCGCCGACAAGGGCAGCAAAGTGGGCGCTCTCAGCATCCCTGCTTTCGCTCCCCCTGACGACCACCCACTCCCTGGCGCCCAGGCCCGTATTTTGCCTGTCGAGGAGCTTGATAGCCTCCTCGGCAGTCAAATCTGCTTCCCCCACATGCACTACCACCCGATGTCTCTTTGGAAGCTCATCGGCCGGCAGCGCATGCAGGGGAGTATCCCCTACCTTTATTTCGTCGGTCAGGCTTTTTAGCCAGTCCGCCGATTGTGGTTGGCGCAGCAGGTGATAAGTGCGCCGTCCCTTTCTCAGGAGCCGGTGAAGG